TAGCATTTGTGGTTGATGAGTTATAGCCGTTCAAAGGTAACCGATCACACTTGCGTTTCTTTTGGTAGCCACTGTATGTATCTCTATATATCAATTTTATATGTTTATTTAATTGAATTAATATCAAATTAAACCAATTTTAAGCTAATTTATGGTTGTTTAAATTCTGAATTGATGCTAAATTGATGCTAAATTGAGGCTAATTTAAGCTGAATTATGATTATTTAAGTTCTGAATTAATACTAAATTATTACTAAATTAATGCTAATTTTAGACTGATTATGGTTGTATAAGTTCTGAATTAATGCTAAATTAATGCTAAATTGAGGTAAATTTTAGGCTGATTTATGGTTAAATTTAAGTTCTAAATTATGCTAAATAGTCATATCCAATTGGAGTCAATTAGCATTGATTAGCAAGTATTTATATCAATCAGAAAATATGGTAAATCAGCTATAAATAGTATCAAAATTAGCTTAAAATCAACCATTCAATTTTAAGTCAATTTAGACTATTTCAACTAGTATATATATTAAATTTTATTCATTTTTATTTTATTTATAATATTTCTATTTTGTTTAAAGTAAATATAGTACTTTAGATAAAGTAATTAAAACTGTTATGCTTGATTTACTATTATAATAAATAAAATGAAACTATTTATATATAAGAATAATATGATTAAAAATATAAAAAAATAATTAGCATATAATAAAAATTAAAAAAGATGAATTACAATATTAAAGTTGACCAATTATATAATTAATCTGTAGAATATGATTATAAATAGTTTATTAATATACAAAAGAACTTTTTATTAGTAATAAAGATTAATATATAATGGTAATTATAAAATGAATATATAAATATTATAAATTTGAGATATTAAAATTAAATCATTTAGATAAAATGATATTATTAATAAGGTAATTAAAGACAAATCTGGATGTATTAAAAATTGAGAAATTTTAAAAATAATCTAAAATACTTTATTTATTAAACTTATTTAAATTAAGATTTAAGAAAATAATTTTCTTGTAAAATTATATTTTATTATTACTGTCAAAATCATAGTTTCATTTCAACTTTTAAAAATTAAAGAGCATATGAGACCTTTGCAATAGAAAAGGGAAAAATGGCTGAAACAAATAAAAAATGAGTAAATGCTAAACCTGAACATATTTTGACCTAAAAATCATATTTGCCATATAAAAGTAATTGATCTTTCCGGTAATTTTACCAATTTTTTGCAAAGGTCCCATATGACATTCTTGATTTTGTATATTAAACTTTTTGATCAATCACAGGTACACAAAAATTTTATGATAATGCAATTATGCGCATATTATGTCGACTATGCATCCTTCATATTGTATCAGAATCCATTATATCAAAATTTCTGTTCTTTAGTGTCCAACTTGCTTCTGTACTCCCAAATACATACTGTGGTAATCCCTTAACCCATTATCCTTTTGGTCTTACAAGTTTGCCAAGAAAACCACTTGGAGCGGTTGAAACCTTAAGTCCGTTCGCTATGCCATAAACTTTCACAATTCTAATCAATATGTTTGTACATGTACAATATTGATTGTATCGGAGTCGACTTTCTCCGATGCCACCAAATTCTAATTTATGATTGGATCCTATGTGAATTACGTAATATTCACATTGTAAAGGTTCTTTGTGGTGCAAATAATCCAAAAAAGGTCAAATATTAATAAGACCTTTTTTTTGTCTCGACTTTTTTAGATTTATAGTTGGTTAAATAAGTAATCTACGCAGGAACCAACACAAATATTCAACAACTAATGGAATCGTTTTTTTTTTTACCATACATACAATATCGAGGAAATATTTATAAAATTGGCTAAATAATGAAATAATATATCGGTAAGGAGATTAATAACAATAAAAAAAAAGTCATTATAAAGAAAAAGGAGCATTTTCGATTTCAATTCTTATTTTTTAATAAAATTGGTTTTTTTTTTTTTTTTTAAATGTTACCTAGAAAAAGTTTTTGTCACATAACCCATATTTAAAAACGTGATTGGAATCCAGGTGTAAATTAAAGTTCGGACAAGAATCACCAGAATTCTTTCTTCCGAATTAGGTATATCTAAATAAATATCTAAATTTATAATCGTGAAAAACAATAATAGCAGAAAAACAAATTCTTTTTTTAGTTTCAATATTGATAGAGAATAAAATCATTTCAAAATTAGCGTATATAGGCAACGTCATCATTTATTAAATACCTTAAAAGTTCTATTCCGTTATCATATCGTTTTGAAACATTTAATTTTTCTTCTAGAAATTCTTTTGTATCATGCTATTTATAGACATTTTTTGTTGATGTATATGCATGATCTAATTCTCATTGTTATCACAGTCTTGCAAAAAGGAATTACACATGCCATGTAACTTACCATCTTTGCCATCTATAGCGGAATGGTGTCTTTTTCCGATTTCTTTTTCACATCAAATCATTGGTTCCAAGGTTTTTTCTTGCCAAGAATTATTGATTTACATATAAAATTACCATTTATTATCTAATTATTCTAAATTAGGTAAAATAAAAAGAGAGTTACGGACCTTTATGTCTCAAAAAACCAATAAAAAATTCGAAATTCGTCGTCGTTTTTTTTTGAATTCATTATGAATGTAGTCTTATTATTATATGCATTTTTAATTTAAAAGAAATCACTTTATCGCTCCTTTTATCTCATATTTATTGTTTTGTCGTTGAATAAGATTCATATTAATTAATTGATTTCGCTTCTGATTATTTTTTTTTTACACGTTTTTTTTTTTTTTTTTTTTTTTTTTTTTTTTTGTTGTTTCCTATAAAATAAAAAATATGGAAAACCCTTTTGTTTATGCAATAAATGTTTGATATTTGATTTTGCATGATTGAGAAAATAAGAAGTCGGAGTTATCAATATGCCTTACATGGATTATTGGCTGAATCACCAATTTATTCATTATCATTATCTAATGATATTTCCTTTAAAGTTTTTGTCAGCGGTAGTTTACCAAATAGTAAGGGATAAGATGTGAATAATTTATGAACATGGCGTAAGTTTTTATAATAATCAGAAAATAAACTTGAATTTCATCTAAACCAAAGAACTATTATAGTAATAAATCTAAATTCTCCTTTGTTTCATTTAATTAAAAACAAGCTCATTTAAATCTTACCAAAGAGAGTTATCTGCAGTTTTGATATATGTTGTGGTTTTGTTATTACCATTTATTTCAATTTTTTAGGAGGATGCATGAAATTTTTTTTTTTTTTTTTAGAGAATCTTTTAATAACAGTAAAATGTGTACCAAAAAAAAATATGTATATAAATTTTTTTATTTTTAAATCGAACATAACCTTCGACCATGTTTCAGGGAAAAAAAAAAAAAGGTATAAAAGATTCAAATTAATTCTTTTATTTTTTTCCTCATTTTTTTTCAAAAAAATCTTATTTTTTTTTTTTTTTTTTTTTCATTTCACTTTAAAGAATGATCTTTGTAATATACGATTCTATATAGAAAAAAACATAAAGATTTCTAATTTTTTTCACATTAGTTTTATTTGTAAAATATTATATCTTTACTTGTATTATATAATTATTATATTTTAAATCATGATTAATATTAAAAAATTTAATGTTAGTTATAAGTTAATCGGTCTCCTATTGTGCACCCTAACCATAATTAATGCACAAGAAATGGAGGAACCACCTAGAATAGTTACTTCGCCCGGACCAGATGTTGAAGGGATACCAGAGACGACAAAATATGGATCATACCCTGATAGTGATTACTCTAAATTGTTGTCTTATTCACTTTATTTTTACGAAGCGCAACGAAGTGGTATCTTACCTCCAAACAATCGAGTTCCATGGTGAGATTCATTTGAAATTATATTTCTTCCTTTTTAATTTTTTTTTCGTTATTAACCGCAGGAGACTTTCTTATGCACTTAGGCGACACAATTCTGCATTGGATGATGGAGAACTAGGCGTTGATCTATCTGGGGTAAGCTAATCACGTGCTATCACGCATTTGATATATTAAATATTTATGTATACTAATTGCCGTTAAAAAAAAAATTTTATTTGTGAATCATGTAGGGATATTATGATGCAGGTAAAAATCACTATATCTAGTTAAATTCTGCGCTTTTTTTTCGCGTTTCTCTATTATTGACGCGTCTTTTTTCTCCTCTCCTTCCCTTTCCACATAATGTAGGCGATTACATGAAATTTACATTACCGTTATCATGGACATTGTCAATGATAAGTTGGGGAGGAATAGAATGGTTTAAAGGATATGAATTATCGGGGCAAGAGAAATATTTGCATGATATGGTTAAATGGGGAACAGACTGGTTAATCAAGGCGCATTCAATTGAGACCAATGAATTATACGTTCAAGTAGGAATTGACAAGATTGATCACAATTATTGGGGTACCGATGAGAATATTCCAAAACCAAGACCCGTATTTAAAATAGGTGATGATGTGCACGGCACCGATGTGGCGGCAGAAACCGTAGCGGCGTTTGCAAGCGCGTCAATTTTATTCAAAGATAAATTTAAGGAATTAGATTATGCCAAATTATTATTATCACACGCCATAAAATTGTTTGAATTTGCAGAGCTCAAACCCATGGATGTATATAGTGATCAAGTGCCGGAAGCTAAAAGTTTATACGGTGCACGTCGTTATCAAGATAAATTGGTTTGGGCATCCCTTTGGTTATATAGGGCAACGGGTGAACAATTATATTTAAATAAAGCACGACAATATTTCGTCTTGTTTTCATTGAAGGGTTATATGCAAATCATTAATTGGGCCGATAAAACTTGTGCGACATTTATATTATTTGCTCAAGTAACGAACGGAACCAATTTCATGGATGAAATATCATGGAAATCACAATCGGAAAGATATTTGGATATCATGATTAACCCCAGTCTCATGCCAAATAATCGATGTGGATATACTCCCGGTGGATTACTGTGGTGTAATGGAGATAGTGAATTTAATAGTTTAAATGTTGCTTTAAATATCGCTTTCGTAAGTTTGGTTTACGCTCCTTATGCTACCACCGATGAGAGAAAGAAAAAGTACATGAACTTTGCAGAATCTCAAATTAGTTACGTTCTTGGTGAAAATCCAATGAAACATAATTTTGTGGTTGGAATAAACCCCAATTCTCCCAAAAATCCTCATCATGCTGGTGCTCACGGTAGTGTTACTAATAATTTATTAACTCCTGTCGAAACCACTAATATACTTTATGGTGCCGTGATCGGCGGTCCTGGCGTGAATGATGATTACAGTGATGATAGAACTCAATATAATTTCACAGAGGTATGAAAGCCTGAATTGATGTTTAACCATAAAAACGTGAAAATTGAGTTTTTTTTTTATGATTTTTTTTTTTTTAAAATAGGTATCGTTGGATTACAATGCACCATGGCAAGGTTTAATGGCGTATCAAGTTTTGAATTTCGACCCGACAATACCACGAACAAAAACTCCACCAACAACAGAAAATTCCAAACAATCCAATAACAAGTCATCCGACGATATATCAAATAATGACGGTACATATGGTATGTCTTCCGGTCGTAAAGTTGGTATAATAGTTGGTAGTTTACTTGGTGGCATATTCTTAATCATTGGAGGATTATTTGCTTGGAAACATTCATCAATAATTGAATGGTTTGGCAAAAAACGTGAGGAACTCAGTAAAAGATCGATACGTAATCTTGTTAGTGGTAGTAGGCGCAATAGTATTCAAGCAGAAAGTAACCTTCCACATTATATTCCGTAAACTTTTTTTTATCAGATAGACATTTTCAATATCTTTTATCATTTTTAATTTAAAAAAAAATCAATGCTTTGCATCCGGATTATGTTCTAGCATTTTTTTAATTAATTAAAAGAAATTAAATTATACGCATTAATGAAACACATTCGTCTTTCATTTTTCAACTGAAAAAAATTAATTGAATTGAGAATTTATGTTTTCTTCGCCCTAAAAAGTTATAAACTTTTTTTTTAAGCATGCTTTATGATACGTAAAATAATAATACCTACAAGTTTCATTCGATAATGGTGATATTCACTAGCCACATTTATATGTGCTGCGCCTCATACCCGGCACACATTTCGTAGATGAATCCGATCATTACTCGAATTATATAATATAATAACAACAATATATATTTATATATAAATGCTATTTATTCATGAGATTCTTTTTTTTTTTTTTTTTCTAACAAAATTTTGACAAAACAAATAAAAATCCAAGGGTGCTTCAATATATAAATGAATTATAGGATTAAATTACTTTTTGCACCAACAATCAAGAAAAATTGCCAAAGTCTAATTAATTAATTACATGAGGAAGAAATGAATGGAAGTTATGTAATATTTAAAAAAAAAAAAAAAAAGTTGAAATTAAATTATATATAAAGAAATCAAACAGAACGACCAAGTTTGGAAAGTCGGAAATGATATGGAGTATGGAGGAGATTATTTCTTTTTATTTATTTTTTTTTTTTTTTTAGAAAGAAAAAAATTTATATAAATATATATATATATAATTTTTTTTTAAAAAAAAAAAAAAAAAAAAAAAAAAAGAAAAAAAGAAGAAAGAAAAGGTGTCTTCATTTTCGTAATGGGAGATGTAAGCCCGAAAACCGGTCGGGCATTAAGTTTCCAATACGGTGTCAATTTCTGTTGAGTATTATTAGACCTGAGGTATGGGGAAAGAGAAAGAAAAGAAAAAAAAAAAGGTAAACCTTAAAGTTAACATGGTAAAGGAAATATAATTTTTTTTATTTACCAATCCCTCCATACTAGATAGAAAGGTGCTAATCATAAATTTTTATTAAAAGTAAATAAAAAAAAAAAAAAAGAAAAAAAAAAAAAAAAAAATTTCGACAATAATTTACAAAGAAATGACAATAATAAAACTACAATAGAAAAATAAATTGATCTTCCAATCACTTTAAATTTCCGACAAATCCTCCATCAGTTTCTTCTTCTGTTCCTTGGTGATCATCTTACTCGCCTTTCTGGCCATCAATCTCTCAGTACGATATTGTTCGTAAAACACCTCCAGGGTAATATCCTTGAAAAGTTTACGGTGGCTCGATAAAAGAACATTCCTCAATACGAGAAAGTCGCAATGAATTGGGTTCAAGCAATCAATGATGCCCCAAGCATATTGACGTCCCCGAATCTTCTCCCCCGTGTTTGGATCCGTAATATCAGCATCTTCTGGAGCAATTATAGAAAATGGAATTTGAGATTGAGCGTTTGCAATTTCAGCTGCCACCTCTGGTTCCACTTCTTCTTCATCAACTGGAAAGTCGAAAACAGGAATCTGGTGCGCCTTTAAATCCTTTTTAATAGCTTCTTTTAAGTTTGCAAGTTGTGTGTTGGTGAGCAAATCTGCTTTAGCAACTACCGGGATAACGTTAACACGAGCGGTTAACCGTTTTAAAATGCGAATATCTTGTTCGGTTAAACCGTTATTTGCGTTATCGATAAAGTACAGGCAAGCATGAATTTGACTATCTTGAGCTTTTGGATTCCGTTTTACTTTGGTTTCCTATAATAAAAGTAATAAGTAATAATAATAATGAATTCGTTAGATAAATATCCAAAAATGATGCTAGTCTTTTTAGGTGACGAAATTGGTTTGTATGTTAAAAATATTATTGGCTTATATTTAATTCGTAAGAAACCTTTTTCTTTTTTTTTTTTTTTTTACCCATATTTGGTGTAAAAAGAGAGAGAAAAAGTAAATCAACAAACCGATCTACTATTTTAGATTTGGATCTCTCAATACTCGAATAATCGAGGTTTTTTTGTTTACCATTCGAAATTATTTCTTTTGATATTCGAGTATTGTTACATCATAAAAAATTTTCAAATAGGAAACCTTCTAGCAGTGATAACATGACATTTTTATAAATTAATGAAAGTCGTTTTTTTTTTACCTCGGCTAATGTTTGATCAAATTGCGCTTCAATATATCTCAATGCTTCTGTAACCTGTACATCAAGTCGAAGTTCATTATCCCTCACAAACCCAGGACAATCGACTAGAGTCAAAGAAATTTTTTCTCCTTCTTCTTCAATATCCAAAGTGAAAGAATATAATTCTTTCGTGCGCGCTTCTTCTGCGTCCCGCACACTTTCAGCGCTTTGAAATAATGAAGCAGGTAGCTCCGTCTCTTCTTTTGAATTTTTACGGATGTTGAGTGTCTCAAAAAGCATGCGGATGAAGGACGTCTTACCAAGTGAACGAAAACCTACTACCATTAAGTTCAGTTGAGACACGGCGTGCTTACGACGACGAGAACGTGAAGACATTTTACTGGACATTTTTTTTTTTGATATATATATCTTATTTCTTCCTTATGCTCAAAAAGAAAAAAAAAAAAAAATAATAATAAAATCCTCAAAGATATTCCTCGTCTTTTTTTTTTCAAAAAAAAGTTTTCGAAGGTTAAGTCAAGAGAGTGGGTTCGGTCGTTACTGGATTTCAAATCCAAAAATTAAGGAGTTATGGTGAATTGGAAGGAAAGGCGAAAGCAAGTTAAAAGAAAAAAAAAATCTCGTGGTTTCTTTATATATCTGATAAATCACCTCGTTTCAAATATCGCGACAAATAAACCGAATAAAAAAGAAAATGGAAATACGTCGTGTACCGTAATCCGCTGTGTTTGTAACCTTTTGGTTTATTAACCTCACACTTTCGTGAGCGCCCTTAATAAATGCCGTGAAACTACGCAAAAGTTCGCTATTTTATTGGATGATTAATACTTCGACTTTGAGTTGTACGAAAAATTTTTTTTGGTAGAACATCCTCGGTACAACATCCAATACATAATAATATAAAGGTCAATACAAGTTTCTGCAAGTGTCACCCTTACTTACGTTCGTTATATTTCAAATTATTTTATTTTGTCAATTGTTGCGTCAAGTATATTATTAATTTTATCGGTGGAAGGGTGAATTAATTGTAATTTATTTAATTAATTCTGAAGTTTGTTTTTGTAACAACTCATAATAAACATACATCGTATTATTTTACAAAAGTAGAAAGATAAAAATTACAATTTTTTTAAATAAGGTTTAATTTAATTCTTTTTTTTTTAAAATTTTTTTTTTTTTTTTTTACGAATGGCTCAGCTCGACAGCGAAACTGACGGCAAGCTGAAAAGAATTCAAAGGGGTAATTAGTATCAATCAGTGTCATAACTTTTCTCCCCAAATCTTAAAAAACAAAAACCTACTTTGGAGAACTCTAACATATGCTCGAAACTAAGATGATCGACAATATCATTTGTCGAATGGATGTGAGGATTCGAATCGCTAAATTCAGATTCGATCGCAAATGCAGAGGGGAAACCGGCCTAAAAAAATAAATTGCAAATGAGAAAAAATCTCAAATTTTAAAATTACATCTTCGAATTGACACAACAACACAAACCTTTCTCCAAGAGGCATGATCAGAACAAGCGTAACTAAAAAAAAATAAAATAAATTTTCACATTCTCGGAAAACAGAAAGAAATTAAAAATTAAAAGTAATCTTTTGCTAACCCGCATTTTGTTTCTGTAAATGGAATTTCGGTATAAGCGCCGACCAATTTCTTTAAGAAAGTGGTCAAGTCCTCATCGACAAAGTCAACGACGATGCCAAACGATTCCTTATTTTTACCGACATACCCTGTCATGTCGTTCTAAATAAAATTGATCATATATGAAAAATAATCCATGGGAATATTATTCATGGGTGGGGCCAAACATTTCGATCAACAAGGATTAACCATACCTGAATCATTCCAACAACATCTTTCCCTTCCTTTTCATATTCCAAGGCAATAGCTTGTGAACCGAGGAGTCCAGCTTCTTCAGCAGAATACCAATGGAATTCGACAGGTCTCACTGGACGAAATTGTCCGGCAACTAGCACACGGAAGGCTTCCAAAATGGTGACCGTGCCGCTTCCGTCGTCATCAGCTATAATTAATTTTTCGAAAAATCTTAAAAATTGTAATCGACCTTTTGAAAAAAAAAAAAATTCGGCAGATATTTTCAAAAATAAATACCCCCCGGAGCTCGTCCAAAAGCTGGCAACCACTAGAGAAAAATGGATGATGAAAAATTATTCAGCAAGAATTATTATCATAACTTATTTTCGCAATATTTATCGTTTTGTTCATCTCACCATATTAATGGAATCCTGATGGGCACCGACAATAACAACTTGATTCTGTTTCTCGGGATCACTCCCTTCGAAACTTATTGAGGAAATCATAAAGTTTATCAGTTCGTTGATCATAAAGTGTTAACAAACAATCTTAAATTACGAGTTCTCATACCGTGCAATAATTGATTTTTGCGCCCAGCTGTGCGTGAACTTGCGCACAGAGACGTCAACATCAAGATTTGCATCGTTCGCGTCTTGAATTATATCGAAAATTTGGCTGTAGAGCCATTTAGAAGATTGCTCCCCGTACGAAGAGCGATAATATCGATTATGGAAGGAAGTGAATTTAACCAGGTTTTCGTGGATAGTTGTTGTAGTCAGGTTTCTAATAAAACCATTGACTTCATCTTGAAACAAGGGTACCGCTGGGTACACTATGACAGAAAAAGAAAATTACAAATTGATCTACAATGTCATAATTTCACAAAAATAAAATTACCATGCTTCAGAGTGGTCTTTAAATGTGTTCCCAAATCTAAAAAATCCGTTACGTCCATGAACTTGATATTGTTCCGGAATAAAGTGAGAATTTCGCCCTGGCTCATCCATTCTGGCGGCGACTCTTCGCTCGTCTGGATTAACCTAAAACCCTCCGAGATTGACTCAAAGTCATTGTACTGATTCAACTCAAAAGTTGATTGCACATGCCGACTTTGTATATTGGGCAATGTTAGAAGAAATGCAAATAAAACAAGTCCTAAGACGGACCGAACCTTATTATAGTTGTGTTTTAACATTTTGAGAAATTTTTGTTTTGCTTTAACTGGTAAAGAAAGGGTTGAACTTAAATAATCATATAGAAAAAAAAATGCAGACTGGCAGGTGACTGCTTTGTGAAATGTAGATACTATAATTAGTAACTTAAGATAAGATGTGCAGGAAAGATCTAATCCAAAATCTGTAAAATAATTCCTTTAGAGGAAGTGAGAGTTTAGTTTTATCTTTTTATGGTTTTAAATACGATAAACGTTATCAATCAATCGTATTACATCATTCATCATCATCAATCTTTAAACGAAACAAAATTGTAAATAATGAAATAATATTAAGAAATTTTTTATTTTAAACTATGATTATTAAAAATACAAATACTTTTGGTTTTTATGAAAAAAAATCTCGAAATGAGAAAGAATAATAATTTTTTTTTTTTTTTTTTTTTTGAAAAAAAGGAAAATGCATTGAAATTGTATTTTTTTTTTTTTGATCTTTTGATCTTTTGATCTTTGATTTTTGAATTTTGGTTATTTTTTAATTTCTTTTTTTTTTTTTCGGAATTGTTAAATATTATTGAATAAAAACTATCCGGGTGGGGGGAAACTAATATTTACAAAATGATAAAAAGAAAAAAAATAATAATAATTGTTTTAATACGCATGTGTAGCGTAAGAATTTTTTTTTTTTGGAATGAAATTTACAAAATTAAAAAAATGAAAAATGAAAAATTTTGAAGGGGAGATGGAGAGATTCTAAAACTCTTAAAAAAAATGTCCAGTGAAACAAATCAAAAATTGGAATATCTTTATTCGCCGAAAAAATCAACAAAATAAAAATAAAAGAAATGATTGTCCAATTAACACCCATAATTTGATTTTTCTTTCAACAACCGATTCCGCCAACGCGCATCCAACCATCCGATAGCCATACGACAACACCTTCCTTGAATTCTTTCTTCCATATGACTCCTCGATATTGAAATGTCCAGAAGCTCCACCAACACATCATAAAGATGCCGGCGATAACACTAGCAATGAGGACGTTGAATAAGCCAGGAAACGATGGAAGGTCAGTTTTATAAAAAACGATGCTACCTTCGGAATTAGGAAAAGATAGTGGAATCTGAAGCCAAATTCTTGCAGCTTCCCAAGTAAGCATCCAACCGGCACCGGTTCCAACGCACCATGAACGATACCACTTGAGGTTTCTTGAATAATCTAGCAAGACCAAATGTTCCCAAACGATCAAACCCCAATGATTTCGACGAATAACGAGTAAAAGGAAGAACGAAAATATAGGTAAGGTAGTCGTTGACCATTTCCCGTGCATGAGGAACGGGGCAACGTCCATCGGAGCAAGAAGGTACTCAAGTTCGGACATATCTTCTTCATCTGATGTGAGGGACCGAAATAAAATGGAATCCGGTCTATCTTCAGAGCGGACAAACCACAAACACATCGCCCAACCCATCCAGATTATCCAAGTTCCATATAACACAAATGCTCGCTCCAATTGTGTCTTCTTGAACACATTTGCAAGTAACATTGCAATGTGAAAGCAAGTAGTGGTGAAGTATACCAATTGTGTGAATGACGCAAAGCGTATCCATGTTGGGGACGTGATGTACAAGAGGTAAAGATGTTGGCATATTATTAGAACGTGAACGATTAAGGTGATGGGTGTATAACTTGTGCTTCTAAATAATGAAGAGAAAAAATGTAAAGTTAGAAACGGAAATTTTCGGGAGGATTCGGAAGATGCACAATCAACAGAACTGCTTACATTTTTTGGTCGTATTTCATTATCGGCGGCACCTTTCCATTCTCGAATTGAGGGGTCTCTTGATTCTTTTGTTCCGTTCCTTCTTTCGTGACCAATAGTTCCTTAATTTTACGGCATTGTCGCCTTCCATTTTTGAAGTGGTTTTTATCGTCATGCTTTGGTAATCTACCTTGTGGTCTTGCATAGTAACCACTTTTCCAAGCTGCCGTACATTCCGCTTGTTTAACAATGTTAATGTTTTTCTTGTCAACTGGTCTCGGTTGTTCTTTTGCTAAGACAGCCATTGGAGCCAAATTGTGAGAGAGACACAAGCATAACACATCCAACATCGGATGAAGGAAAATAGATGTACAATTGATTTTTTTTAATGAAAGTTCTCGAAGGGAATAAATATTTTATTCAATTTTTTTTTTTTATTTTAATACAATATAAATTGTAATATTGTAAAATATATATAAAAAAAAAAAAAAATTTTTATCCCAATATAATTGGCTAGAAAATTTTTATGATAGATGTTATTTTTAAAAAAAAAAAAAAAATACTTTGTAGAAAAACGAGACCGACAGGTAGATGGGTGAGATATATATATATGTGTTGAAAAATTGAGGGGCTTTTTTTTTATATAATATAAGTAATACGAAATAAATCTCTAAAATAAGTTTGTAATATCGTGGTTAAATTTTGAGAAACCAATGCAAATCCTTTTGGCATAAGTTGGCACATCATCTTTTACTTTGTCTTCTGTCCTTCACATGCTAAAATCACCATAGTATCACCATAAGTAACATATTTTTAAACTATACTTATTCTAAAAAAATAATTTTTATTTATATTACCTCGGAAATCCTTCCCCCCAAACCACAGAAAAAAAAAAAAAAAAAGGAAAATCACGAATTATTTACAAAAAGATTTTTAAAAAGGCAATTTCATGAAATTTTTGTGACAAGTTCAATGTAAATGCATGTGGAATTCTGTCTTTTGAGAAACTATCCCGATTTTTTTTGATTTAGGAGTGCGTTAATCAATCTGAAGTAAATAATATTATTACTTTTAACATTCATGTGTTTCTCTACAGATATGAACGACGTGACACCTCCACAAGGAAATAAATATTGTTTGATTTATTGGATTGTATTGTAAAGGTGAGGGGAATCGATCTTCAACAAAAAAAAAAAAAAAATTATAAGGGTATAAAGTGTCAAAAGCACGTTTTCGATGGTATCATCCGGATCAAAAATAGTACTCTATTTATTTATATTGTGTTCAAATTTACTTAACACAACATGAAAATTTATAAAAAATGAATTAAAATTCATATTAATTAAAAATTAATATTATCTTGTTATGTGATATTTATTAATTATATTTAATATTATTGGGATTACCAACAGATGTGTAAGAGATAATGAAAAGTTCAAGCGAAATTTTTATTTGCTGTTTATGGTAGAAAAAAAATATTCCACAACCCTTATCAGAGCCAATTAATTCGTTTAACGTTTATGAAAATGAGTCCTAAAAGAGATCTAGTGATATTAGCTTTTTATTAGTTCCCATTATGGATACAAAGTTATATAATAATTGGCTTGGATGTAACCATGTTTAGACGTTTGTTTATCTTTATTCCTTAAAATTTTCTCATCAGGCAAGTACCTGAACCAACATTTTTATAGACATTCATTTATCATTCGAATATTACGCAATAATAAATTATTCTTTAGTACATGTTGCATTATCAACATTATTCCAATCATTTCTTTGGAGTTGACATTTTTGTATCTATTGTTTAAATTTTTTTTAAATATTGTTGACCAAAGGAATTTAATAATTTTATGGAATAACACCCATTAGTTTTTTTGAATTCGGAAATATCGCATGTGACATTTCTGATAAACGGATCGATCATGTTCGAAACTGTAAGTGGTCAGTGCCCGAGTGCCCGAGTGCCCGGACAAAAAAAAGAACCACAAAATTGTATGGCAAATTCTTATCACTGAGAATATTTGATTCAGATCAACAAAAAGATTGTCATTATGTCTGGTGATAATTCAGAGAATCTGTAATATGTCAAATAATAATGTAATAATGCAATAATATGTATTGCACATCAAAAGTGATTATTTCGGTATTTCATTTGCTCTATTTAGGATTACCCGTAGAAAAAAAAAAAATAAAGAATGAGGTGAGGGAAAAAAATTGCATTTTTCATTTCTACGATAAGATAGAGGAAAACTCCAATGATATCATCGTATTAACCATTTCATAATCCTAACCATACAAGGTTTAATATTTAACTGATAGGATTTTGTAATTTAACGTTATCGGGTATTACTCCCCATTCAGAAGTCATGATGCTATCAAAAAAAAAAATTTCTCTTCCAATTAAGAATGAATTCATTTCTTTCTAAATTGGTTTGACACGTTTCAAAATGATTTAGTCCACAAAGTGATCTACACATCAAAGAAATTAAGCTTACTCTCTCATTCATAAGTAGAAATTGCCACAATCATGTAGGATTAGTATAACATTAAAAAATAATCACAAAAGCGGAAAAAATCGGGCTGTTCATTAAAAATTCATCAGCATTTGTTTAATCTTGCATGGTTTTTTTTTTAAAAATATATTTGTTGACATTTTATTATCATCAATTGACATTAAAAAATGTGTGAAAAAAAAATTGTTCGATTAAGGCGCGAAAACTATGATTGGTTTGATAAAAAAAATCTTTCATCAAAAAAAAAATACTTGTAGGAATGAATGTAAAAAGAAAAATATATTTGATTATGTTGTGTGATTACAAAAATTAAAATTTGTGATATAAAAAACGGGCAAATGATCTTATTGATTCTAACGATGTTATACGATTATCAAAAAATTTACCCTTCAATAATTTAAAATATAAATTTTTTTTTTTCAAAATGAAAATCATGCAGGGATGAAATTTATATTAATGTACAATAAAAATTGTGATTTACAAAAAAATTAACTTTATTATAATTTTTTTTTTTTCGAGAGATAGAGAGAGAGAGAAAACTTGTTTAATTCATGTTTGAAAAACTTTTTCGAACCAATAATTTCTAAAATCGTTTAATGAAAAATAATAAAAAAAAAATTTTCTTGATTATATGTGTGTGTGAACAGTGCGAGCATTATTAATTTCACAAAAATTTTTAATTAAATAATACAATAAACATTAATAATATTGTGTTAAACAAACTAGTTTTTTAAACGTTTACAATCCAGAATTCGAAGCAGAATTTCATGATATTTTCTTTTCCTTTGGATTGTAATTTCAAAAATCATATGAAAATTGGATGATGAACATTAATTGGTTCACCTGAAAATTTTTGATTTTCATGCTATTTATTAGCAACAAAATGATAACTTGTTTGACTAACAAAATTCGTTCCAAATTGTTAATGAAAAAAAAAAATTTCACATGTCGTTTGTTGTCTACTTTTATTACGTATCACATTTGTTTGTGTGAAAGGTGGTAAATTTTGCGCCCTTCAATCTTTTTATTATTGTCTTTTATTATTATTCAAATTCGGGCCGGTTTTATGCGGAATTAACGGTTCCGTGGAGGAAGAATATTCTTTAAGTTGCATGAATGGGAGATTTAATTAATGATTGATAAAAATTTTTATCGGGAATTCATGTTTCAGGAAATGATTGTATTTTTTCTAATGTAATGTAATGCCTTCAAAACCGGTGAAGTAAATCTGGTGATACTTTTTGATATTATATTTTGTTGTATGTTTAATGATAGAATGATGCGGCTGTTTTTTTTTAAAAAAAAAAAATTTATTTTTTTTTTATCAAAAAATTTCTTTCTTTTTGGTATTTCGTTTCAGTCGAATATGTATCCCTTTAAGAAATTTATTTATCTATTTTTTAAAGAAAAGTTTTGTAAAGACGCTTTTTGTAAAAGATCTACCTTATCCTAACTTCGATATCATAAAAAATTTACAAAAAACAAGTTTCTTTGTTCCTTTTATAAATTATATCAATATTGCCTTCTTTTCCAGTTTATTTGTTTTTTTTTCGATGATGAAAAGAATACTCATTTACAAGAACAAAGAAAAATAATCGAACAATTGTTTAAGGATAAATTACATTTGATTGTTAAATGTATTTTGCCGTGAACTTGCGTTCTTGTTTATATATCAGATGAAAATCATTTTACATTTACAAAATTCCTTGAGACGACTGTTTTTTTTTTTTTTCTCCTGGCAGCAGAGGCTGAAAAAACTTTAAGAAAATAAGCTTTAGAATAAAGCTTTATTTAGGATAAATAGTTATCTTATCAAGGATAATTAAACTTAAAGTATAACATACGTTACACGGCCTTAATTAAAAATGTTCTTTTGTTAGAGCGTATCATTTGTCAAAAAAAATTTTATGAAACGAGTAACTTGAATATATGCTTTATTCTTTGACGTGACCCCATATGCTGTAGATTTGTGTTACACGGTTTCTTTTTTATTTTTGTCCTTTTTTTTTTTGACCGTCATTTTCCACGGTAAATTTTTCATAATTCATGGTGCAAGGGATTCAAGGGTTAAAGTACGACACGGGGTGATTGATTGTATCTTAAAAATCATTGGATGGAATTTTCCAAATTGTGTGAATCTTCAATTCTGTAAAGATTTGTATCGCTGTATTCCGTGCCGCATAATCCAATGGAACGACAGTGGTTTTCAACGATGATCCCAATGTCCCTTGCACATCCCACAATTGGAGACACCGTATTTTAGACTAATGAAATTGTGCATTTCATCTATTGTACAAGAATTTTCATGTTCTTTTGCATAAACCCTACCCCTCCTCCTTATTTACCTGCTAATGAACGATGTCAAAATTATTTTCGTTTAAAAATTTTGCGGAGGTTGCAAATGATATACATATGAAGATCAACATTGATCGACCAAGTATATCATCTTAATCAGGATGTTTTTTTAAATATAGTATTAGAAAATCATCGTTTACTAATTAATTTTATACCTAATTAAGTGTTTTGCTAAAAAAAAATCAAAGATTATGCAATCAGTTACATTTATCTTATATAAAATGATGTAATATGATTATCTACAAGTAGATGGGGTTAGACGGTTGATCACGTGTTCGACATTATTGGTTAAAACTATATTAGAATACTTTGTAACGAATAAACTATTACATCATAAATCATTTATGTCGGGATTTAGGAATAACTTACTAAATAAGGAAATATAAAAAATGATTATAAACATAAATGTGTATTTGTATTTAATTCATAAAAAAGTTTAAAATGAATTCTTTGATTCTATTGTACTTTTTGTTTATTAATTT